CCCCAAAACCCCAAAACCCCAAAACCCCAAAACCCCATTAAATATTTTAGATATTGAAAACTATGCCCATATCCCTGTTTAAGGCCTTGAGTATGAGTTTTAGTCATTTTTATGGTAAGATTGTCTCCCCTAGCTCCATGAGAAGTTAGAAAGCTTATAATTCATCCTAATTGTCATATTCTATGCTTGAGAGAGCAAGAAATTTGTCCAATACTTAATTTAAAAGAATGCTGAAAATATAATTTCAAAATGAGTAAACCCTCGCTCTCGAATTAAAGCCCAAGGGATTAATAGGAATGCTACCCTGAATTTAAATAGATCCATGAGGAATCTTAATGTCTGAATATCTCTCAAAAAATAGTAAACACAAAAAAAATCTACTTACGGATATTTTAGAGCCTAAGATCTCTTCTGGATAACCAACATTTGAATTTAGTCTGGGATACTTATTAGAGTATCTAGGTTTGCTTCAAGCCCTCTGAGAAATTATTAATTAATAGGAAAAGTAAGAAGATACACTGAAATACCAACTTTATTTTCAACTTCTTTTAATTAAAAAGTGAACTTGCAAATTCCAATCATTATTCTTAGGATCAACTCTTACTAAGTGCGATTCTTGATGTCCTTGACCTATTCATTTCATTAGAAATGCAGGCTGTTAGAGTTGGCATCTAAGCATCATCAGGAATATATGATCTAGAGCGGAACTCATCTGGAGGCATGATAGCAGAATGCCAAAAAACACTCAATTATTAGCTAAAAATACGCTAAACTTTGAAGGACTTATGTTTATTTTATGGTATTAACATTTGATATACAACAAATCACAAGGCGTCTTCCAAGTTCCTTGCAAAATCAGGGAAATAGTTTTCTCCTTGGCTTATGATTCCTTCAGATATACTCACCAAGGGCCATATCCTCAGCCCCTGGTAACCATGAAGGTTCACGAGTGGTCTAGAACTATTTAAGAATCTGATGCATCTTTTAGGATTCTATTCCTCTATTCCATTCCATTAATAACTTGCTGGTGTTATTAAGTTCCAAATTTTACATTGACATGAACACATGGTGACAATTTCAAAATTTTGATTTCTCACACAGAGAAAAATTAACTAACTTTTAACTATTTTAGACAAACAAGTTAGAGATGTATTTCAGGATAAATATCTCAGAAAAGAGCAAGCAAAGCTATTGGGTTAATGTAGCTAAGCATAGTACTCTTTCCTAGGAAATTTTCATTCTTAGTTCCAAGGAAGATCTGTTTTGGCAAGATAGTTGCCCAGGAAATAAAATAGGTGACTGAGATTTTGAAATTGAACATAAGGGTTTGAAATAGGTGGTAAGATAATTTTCGAATCTAGCAAGGAGGTGTTTAGAAATATTCTCTTTCCTTACGATATCCTTTTTGATAATTATAATAAAGAAGATACGAGCTAGAGGTCCAAGTAGCAACTTCTTTATTTTTGATAAAAAAATTTAGGGTTGGTTAAAGTTTAGCTATCAGCTGTTTTAAATTGTCAAAATAAAAAATGGAGGATAAGTTCTAAAAACTCCTATTTTTTACAAAGAATAAGGGAAGAATTAAGACAAGTAGGTCTTCTTCGTAATATTCCTAATTTTCCTTCCATTACTACTCTTCGAGTCTTCTCAATAAAATTGGATAGGTTTTGGTTAAAAGATTTCTCAAAATGTTGGTAACATCAAACGCTAATCATAGCAGGCTGCTAAACTTATGCATACCACTCGAAAAATTAGTATTAAGACATATCTTCATAGGCAGACAGAAAGCCTAGTCCTGGCTCTCCTCCTTCAAATGTTAGCATGATTGCAGAAACTTCCTAACATGAGTGTTATTATTGAAAACCGATATAAAAAGCCTGATCTCCCTCTGCAAGTCCCTACAAAAACAATATCCTGATCATATGCCAAGATTTTATTAATCCTCGTTAAAACCATTTCCTTACTCTAAGCTTCCAACTTAATACCTAGGTAGGTTAAGCTTGGAAGTAAGTAAATTTTCGAAACTACCAGATTTAATTTAAGCAGAAAATTCAAGTTATCAAAAAATTCCACTCAATGTTTTACATAAACCGTTTGATGCATTAAATCTTCTAAATTCTGGATAGTAAAACTAAAATCGTGAAGACAGTGAAGAGGTAAGTTAATACCTTGTAAAATCTTCTGAAATTTGAAGTGAACAAGCTATAGCCTCTTCTTGGAAATCGATTAAATTTATCAAAGAATCATGCTTTCCAATCATCCTCGTTATAAAAATTATGAATAAAACAAGAGAACTTTAAAACCGGGGGGAAATGCTTTGGTAGGATAAAAATAAGTCTTGAAACAGCTATTTCACTTGTAAGTTTATAAAAGAATGCTTATCAGAGAAGAACAATTAACTTAGTAAGTGCCTGCCTCCATCTGGCCAATGGTTTCCAAGAATTCTTGGGCTTTGGCCTTGTACAAGTCCTGATGCTTCTTCAGAGTCTTGTCTTCTCTTAGCATCTGAGCAAACTCAGATGAAGTCAGAAATTCCTTGAACACTGTCTGGAACGGCTTCAAAGTCAACAAGTTGACGAGCTTGCCATAAGAGTACTTGTTGAGCACGTTGTAGTACTTGACGTAGACCTTCCGCACTTCATACTTTCCGATGTACTTCTTCATGATCATTCTTGCTGAGATGGATGCGACCATGAGCTTGGCCATGAAGAAGTCGTTCAGCGGAAACTCGGCTAGTTGTTTCTTGTCAAGAGCAAGAAGTTCCAGAGGAGCTGCCTCTTCGATTTCAGCCTCCGAGAATAGGCTTGCAAACCTGGTCTTGCAGACTTGGTCAATCTTCTGCAGGATTTGGGACTCTTGGTTCTTCGAGTGAGCGAAGACGTGTCTAGTGTTTCAGCACTCTTGACTGTAGAACTTCTTGACCGCTCTGAACAACGTCTTGTGTAGAACGTCATCTCTTGTGTTGGTATCGGATTGGGGCTTCTTCTTTGGAAAATCCATCTTGTGTTTGGAACGATTGGTCGAAGCTAAATGTTGAGTCACAGGATTCTTACGTTTGCAAGTTCTTGGAATAACTTTAGAAACTTGATTGGACTCATCTCTGGTTGGAGAATCTTTGCTTTCTTCATCAACACTGGGGTCATCTTCAAGTTTTCTAACAGAACTTCATTGGGTCTGACTGGTGTAGTCAATAGTATTTCTAGGTTTAAGCGGGACTCTTGGCTTCACCAAACTGAAGGCTGATAACTCATGGTTTTTAGAAATAGATTTGAGTGAACTCCCCATAATTTTGTGAGTGTTCATTGAGGTTTTGTTAGAGCCTAAAGGATTCACTTTTGGTCCAATTGGAACACCTTGGGTTTGCAATAATTTGTAATATGGCTTATCTATACAAAATGAGTATCGAAACATTAATTTGTATGTCTAGATAAACTAAACCACAGCACAAAGCTTACTTGACATGGATTGCCAAGTTGGAAATCCATTTTCTGGGAGGAATTAAAATAATTTAATGTTATTAAACTTAAGAACGCTAATGATCTCTCTATTTTGGAGAATGCTTCAAAACTATAATTATCAGCCTTAGAGATCAGGTATGCTATATTTTTGATAAGTGACAACATCAAGATGCTTCTGTATATAAGATACATCTTGCTTTTTGTCTTGCTAAATGCCGTCTAAGCCACCATTGGAGTCACCAAATATTGGCTAAACCTTAAAGCTCCAGTGTCTTAGAAAAAGGTTTAGAGTGCACAATTGCGATAAGAATCTTCAGAAACACTAATCATGAGCGAGAATGTCTGGAGTCTCCATAAAGTTTGGTGCAGTTAAGTTCTGGAGCAATTTTGTGAAATGAATCTTTGCTGAATCATTCATCAAGTAAGGATAAAAGACTTCACACAAATGTGAACTTACTTATTTTTGCAGGTACTGGTGTCAGAGGCCAGTTGAGCCCACTGAGACCAAGTCCCAGATCTTGGAGGTCATTTGTTCCATAGTTGAAATGACTATGATGCTTCTGTTTGAAGGCATTGTTAATCATTGTTAATTCTAAATTTAAAAATAGTAATCAACTGGGGTTTAAGAACTTGGGGTTTTGGGGTTTTGGGGTTTTGGGGTTTTGGGGTTTTGGGG